AGATACAAATCACAACAAGGACACAGTGTCATGTTTTTACAAGCCTGCCTTTCTGTTGAATGGCATTTGGCATCTGCATTCACCATAGTTTTGATCATACCACATAAAGACACTCAGGAAAGGAGCTGCTTCAGAAAGTGGCAAGACTGACCTGACGGTGTAAGTACGTTCAAAGCCAGGGGAAGGATTTTAAAGGGGCTCATGGTCATGGGTCTTTTACTGTAATACAGTTTTTAAATGTAAACATTCACCACATTTTTGATCACTCTGTGTGTTATGTGCACACTGAGAGAGGGAGACAGGTCCTAAAGTTTAGAAATCTAATCTTGTTGGCCTTATATCCACGCAGGAAAATCAATCAAGATAATTTTGCAAATATTTTTACCCAATAATACTGTTACTCAGCTATAACATCATTGCATATGTTTAAATATATAGAAAAATGATTCTCGAAGATTACAAGTTGGCATCAATTAAGAGCTGTTACTCAGCTATAACATCATTGCATATGTTTAAATATATAGAAAAATGATTCTCGAAGATTACAAGTTGGCATCAATTAAGAGCAAATCTGGCTGTGTCTGAATGACTCCCCAGGGAATCTGTCCTCGTGTGACTTATTTCATTAGAAGGGATTCTTTTGCTAGGATGAGAATTAAAAGAAGCTGTCACTAGACAAAAGAGAATAATTTTTTAAAATAGCAAAAAAAAAAAAAGTTCTTGCATAAAGATTTGGGATCTTAAAACATCAATTTCCCGGGCTGGGGATTTAGCTCAGCGGTGTAAGCACCTGCCTGGCAAGCTCAAGGTCGTGAGTTCAATCTCCAGTACCAAAATAAAATAAAATGAAAAAACATCAATTTCCCATTTTTCTCTATGTCAGTGTGTAAATTTAACAAGTTTCCATCAAGAAAGGTAAAGATATTTGGTAGAAAAAATAGACAAAGCAATTTCAACATCCATACGCAAAAAAAGGTGTGAAAATTCAGGAAAAGAAGAATAAGAGGGGGCTGGGAATTTAGTTCAGTGGCACAAGCACCTGCCTGGCAAGCATGAGACGTGAGTTCCATCCCCGCTACCAAAAAAAAAAAAAAGAGAGAGAGAGAGAGAGAGAGAATACATGAAAGAAGATTAAAGCAGTATTTCAGAAGTCCGGTACATATGTTAAAAGAGACAAGCACTCTCATTATTGGGGCAGAGGAGTCTATATTAGGTAATCTTTACAGAAAACAAAGTGGCGATACAATTTCCATCAAAACCCCAAATGCTTACCCCTTCGGACCTAGCAATTCTGAGTGTTATCTACCCTTCAGCCACACACTTGTGGTTACAAAATCAGACAAACACAAGAATATCAATCGCCACATTCTTGGTGATAGCAAAAGATCAAAAACTACCCAAGTATCTCTGAGTGGAAGACGGGTTAAATAAACTAGGAAACGTTGATCGATGTCACGGGATACGCCACATGACAGGAAGAAGCAGCTCCATAGCGAGTGGGAGAGAAAGGCTCCTAGAACTCGAAGTTAAGGCAAACTACAAAGCAATGGACTCAGTAAGCCATCCTGTGGGGTGTGTGTATTTATAAATAGATATAAAATCTAGGGTTGGTCTGGTTTGGTCTGGTCTGGTTTAGTTTGGTTTGATTTGGTTTGATTTTTTGAGTTCAGGTTGGCCTTGAACTCACCTTGTATCCCAAGTTGGCCTCAAACTCACAGCAATCCTCCTGCCTCAGCCTCCAGAGTGCTGGCAATTGCGACCAGAGGGTTGGCAGACAAACACAGAGGATTGTTAGCAATGGATGTTTTTAAGTTTTCTCTTTAAACCTTTATATGTAATGAGCATTGATTCCATTTTAAGTAAGGAAGACTAAGGAAGCTAGTTATTTAAGAAATCCGAAGCCGTGCCCTATAACCACCTAGATTCCTTTCAGAAGCGGGGGGGAAAAAAGTGAAAACAAATAAAATCACCTGGTTCCCGGGCCCTCTGCCTGATCCAGGCTCCCCACCCTCTCCTAGGAAAACAATGTGGTGTTAAACCCTCAAAGCCTCCCAGCTCAGTTGTTACGGGTAATTGTGTTTACTCTTTTCCAAACAAAGTAATTTGAATCAGAAAAGTAAATGTGCTCAGTCTCTAGGTTCTTTGATGTCATCTTCCTCTTCCACCCGCCCACCGGCCCAGGACAGGACAAATTCTGTCAGCATCGCCATGGCTACGCCATTCTGCCTGCTGATGATGGGCCACAAATAAAACAGGGAAAATCGAATTGGAAATAAAACAGTGGAGCCTGGAGCTCTGAGCAGCGGGCTTTCTTCTCCCCTCTGAGCACCGGGTGGTGATGAAACTTCAGAGTATTCAACGCTGCAGTGTGGTTTGCAGTGTGGGTGAAGTCCCCGAGATACGCATATTTCTCTCCTGAAAATAACTTCTGATCAAGGCAAATGGTATGTTTGTGACACCAGAGGCAGGCGTCTGCGCCTCTAAGCCTATCAGATGACTTCCCTCTGGATGACCCTGGCCAGCATCACAGCAGCTCCAAAGTGATTTTAGGATTTGGGGTTCCTAAGACTCTGGAGCTGGTCGCTGCTTAGTCATCCATCCAGGCCGGATCCATGAGGCTGGCTGAACTCTGAATCATCCTAATAAACCCTCCAGGCTGCGCGACACCCTGGCTCCACTGCCCCTGCCCAGCCACCCATGGTCTCAGTCGGCTGCAGGCAGCCCGCTGCCTCCCGTCCTGGACTAGCCCACCTGGACCTTTGGCTCCTTCTTACTCCCCCCTCTTGACACTTCTTTCCTCTCCTTTTCTTGTAACAACAAATTTGGATTTGGAAATTAAGAAGAAAAGAAAATTAGAAAAAGATTTCAAAGAAATCGGCTAGAATATTTTTTGCTTATGTAATACTGAAAGTTTAAGCTTCTATAATGGCATCTAAGTGCTTGGGCTTTTTTTTTTTTCATTACTTTATGTACTTGCAATAAAAACATTCCTTTAGACTTTAGAAATTCTAAATAAAACAAGAACAAAAGCATGCTCCTTCTTTTCAACTCTCCACCCAAACGTTACCATTGTAAATCAAGGTACATGAACTACTGGCATTTAAATGTTTGCCGTCGCAAATATTTATTCCTTCCCAGTCGACCAAATTTGTTTTATATACAACAATGTTCATAAAAACAATAAATAGTTATCCTTTGTCTACTAAACATTTTAGATCAAAGTGGCCCAAATCCTGCATCGTCAAAAGTCCTACTGTTTGTTCAACAGGAAGCCCTGCGTTTCCCAGCAGCAACCTGCCCAGCTCGCCCAGCTCTGCAGCCACTGCAGAGGACCTGAGGGCCCCTCGGCTCTGCAAGAGGCATGTGCACTGTGCTCAGGCCTGCCCTCAGGTCTGTCCCAGTGGGGATGGGATGAGCCAAGTGTCCTCAGAGCTGGCTCCAGCCACAGCGGCCAGCTACAGCCCAAACTGGACTTCTAGGTTGGCATCTGCACCCGGCGACTGGAGCCTGCCCCCACTCTGTGTGGCTGCAGGGCAGGTTCTATGCACAGGTTTAAAAACTGACCTAAGCACCCTAAAGTTTTATTCTTTCTCCCTGCTCCTAAGGAAGAGGACTGGCACCCCCTCGATGTCTTCCACAGTCTCCCCAATTGCAGAGTAATCTTGCAGGTCCTCTGAGCCTGAGGACCCAATGCAGGCTGGCAGGGACACTGTGACACCCCACCCTGGACTCCTCCGCAAGAACCAATCTCCATAGACACACACACACATGCTGCCCGGCTTCCAGGATGGAACCCCCACCCAGGGCTCCCCTCCCCTGGGCCCTGCTCAGGCATAAAGCTGTCACAAGGACAGCTCTTCAGTGCAGATGTCCAAGCTCGTGGGCTTTGGAGTCGCTATGTGCCAGCGGCTGGGAGGGAGGCATCTGAGAGGCCTGATCCTGGGGGTACTGGTGACCTTCATGAGAGACCACAGGCTCTGAATCTCAACTCGCCCATGGACATCAGAGTGACTTGGTCTACTTCCCAGCCTCAGTTTCCATTTCCGGGAGGTGGAGACCCTTGACTGATTGCCAGAGGCCACACACATGACACACAAGTTGCACAGAAAGTGGGGAGAGGCTGAGCAAAGGACACAGTTTTGGGTTTGTGTTGCTGTTTCTTGAATACTGACCGAGAGTCGAGAGACCTTGGGACACAGGATGTGCAGCGAACAGGGTCACAAACCAGGTGCATGCCGGAATGACTTCTCCAGTGAGAAGCTGCAGGACTGGGATGAGAGAAGCACCCCTTCCTCCCTGGGTGTAGGGAAGACAAGTCCTTCACAGCAAAGGCGACCCTGGCTGAACTGCGAAGGATGCTCAAACACAAGATGAACGAAAGCAGCCGGATCAGCACTACAGGCAGGGAAGGTGGGAACCAAGGCCCGGAAGCAGGATGCAGCTGCTGTCAGGAGGCCCAGAGATGCAGGTGAAGCCAGGGCTGGAGGGGCAGGGCTGTCCAGTGGGAGAATCGGCACAGCGATTTCTTGCAAATAGTTGTGGGGAGAAGAGCTTGGCGTTCAATGTGCTTTCTCTTTGGTCAGGCAAAGGTTTCCTTCTTTTCGGATAAGTCTCACTAGATAGTGCAAGCTGACCTCAAGCCTGAAACCCCCTGCCTCCCTGTGTGCCGCCACACCCAGCATGTCTTACATTTTTAATTTGTGTACAATAATTGTGCATAGTTATGGGATACCCCGTGCCGTTCAACACTGCATGCCTGGGTAACAACCCCATTGATAATCTTTGTGCATTTTACATACATTGTTAAGGGAAAACCAACTAGAAGCGCAGAGATAAAAGTACGTGATCTTGCTCCATTCCCTAGAAATAAGCTGCATAATCATCCTTCTGAACTTCGCATGAAAGAGTGTTGTAAATAAGAAAGTGCCACAGATTTTGTATACATATAAAAAATCCCTTTGAGCATAGATATGTGGTAAAAAACATGATAAACGGTTTAAAATGTTTTAATATATTGCAACAGAAGAGACATCGATATTAATCCCCCTCGAAATCCTTCTCCTGGCCCCATACACACTCATCCTCTGGTTCTCGCCGCTTTCTGTGGCAGCTCTGGAGTCCTCTTTCCTGAGCTTCTTTAGCTGAGCTGTCCTGGCTGCCTTGATGTCCTGAATGGATTCAAAACACTTCCCTTTCACGGTCATTTCGATCTGGGGGCAGAGCCAGAAGTCAGTCACACACAGTGCTCGCAAGTGAGTGAAATGAATGAAGACCCTGAGATATTTGTACGAGTCTGCCTTTCTTGGATGGCACTCAGTCGCAGAAGTCACCACAGCTTTGATCACACCTTGCACAGACACTCAGGCAAGAGGGCCCCAGAGCTGCTTCAGAAAGCGGCAGGACGATGGGAGGAGTGTGTTGGGAACCAGGAGGAGAATTTTGAGGTGGATGCACAGCATTATGTCTTTAGTATAATAATTTTTTTAAAAAACAATCTGTTTTGATCACATGTTGGATGGGATTGAAAGCAGGGAGCCTCCCCAAGTGACTGTCAAAGCTCCTCCCAAAGGACAAGAGACAAGAAGGCCATTGAGAGAGAGACACGGCACTTGTGTCAGCGATGGGGGTGAGGGCAGAGGTATTAGGAGTGAGGGCCCAACTCGGGCTATGTTAAGGAGACGAGAAACCTGGGTTCGTGGGGGGAGGGGATTAGAAGTGTCCTGCATGTGATGAGTTTGGCCATGAGACCTGCAGGAAGGGATTTCAGGTCTGGAGCTCAGGTGGGAGACACAGCAAACTTCCAGGAGCTGAAGGACAGTGCTCAGGGAGTCTTAGAATGTGGCTGTGCTGAAGAAAGGCTGGGTGCAGAGCCAAGGCCCTGGGTGTGAGCCCCAGACACACATGCATGCATGCACACACACACGTATGGCAGAGCTCTCTGGATGGAGGAGGAGCAGGAACACGGACAGCAGCGTGAGATCAGAGGCGGAAGAGGACTCAGGGAACTGCAGCAGCTGAAGATGCTGAGCAGCAAGAGGGAAACTGAGTCCGAAGACATCGAATACCCTCCAGCAAGGACTTACATGGGAACAGTTCAGGGCCACACATGCGTATTATTAGAAGGAGCAGAAAAGCAGATGCCACCCCACAGTGCAACAGTAATTACTCCTGCGCGTTCAGATGGTGGACAACGGCTGCTTTCCTAGAAAACAGTGTGGAGTAGAAAGAGGAAGGTGCAGTGTTTCAGGAGGAAACATTAGGAACCTACTAAATACATGTGTTTACTGTGCTCGAGCGTTTAAACTTGAGAGAAAAGATAGCAACTTCACAGGGGACCCAGCTGCTGCCGCATGTCACCATTTGCCAAATGGTCAAAGCACCATAAACCACGGCCTGAAATTCTATGGCTGCCTCCAAAGGTCCCCAGAGCAGAAGGGGGAGCCCTAACCTTCAGCCCGTGAAGTCTCTGATTTTTGCCAGATCCTTCTACCCACCAGGCCTATTATTTAGTAAAAGTTCTGTTTCTGCCAACTCACTTTTTAAACTCAAACTGATCTATTTGTATCATTATAGCAAACAAAATCATTCTCACAATAAATAGATGGCAACTAAAAAATAAATATAATGAAAGAAAAAAAAAAGCTTCTTAGAAACTCTAACCAGACGCCCTCGACAGTCAGATTTATAGCTCGAGACCTGATCTAGATTCTAGATTGAAACCTGGTCCAGCTGTGAGGTCAAAGGGAGACTAAGAAGCAGCAGATCTGCTCAGGATGTGTGGGTCCTGTCTTCAAGTAGATCTGCCCAGAAGTAATCCCTGGGCAAGGGCTCAGCAGCAGCTGTTTCCTGGACAGGTACGAGGAGCATGGAAGCAGGAATACAGGGGCTGAGAAGCGAGGTGAGGAAGGGAGAAAGTCAGTAGATAAATTATTATCTTAGTCTGTTTCCTGTCATGAGGACAAAATACCCAATGCTGGCAACTTGAAGGAGACTGCTTTTACTTCATGGCTCCAGGGTGTTCAGTCCATGGCTTATTGGCTCCAAGTAGAGCAGCCTGGTGGGAGACATCTGTTTGCTTCGGGGTAGGAAGGAAGCAGAGATTGGGGCCACATCCTCAGTGACCTGCCCTTCCAAGCAGGCTCCCCCTCCAACAGCACTGCCAACTCTGAACTCATGCATGGCCAAATTTACCAATGAGCGTAGCACCACTATGATCCAATCATGCAACTTTGGGAGGACATGTTAGCTATAAACCATAACAGTTATCAAGGCAGGATCCAGGTGGTTGGAACACAATCCCACTGTGGAAAGCCAGGCAGCAGTGCCCACCACAGCTCAGCATCAGCCCATGTGGAAGGTGGGAGAGCTGTGCTCTGTCTATGCTGCCGGCTGTGAGCCATGAGACTTCACTCCCAGAATTCCTGGCTGCCCCGGGAGGGTGAAGAGATGTGGCTTAGCTCCAGCAATTACACTGAGATGGAAAGAGAAAAGGAAATGGCTTTTGGTCATTCCAGGGAAAGGAATTAGTTGCTGGGCCCTACATTGTTTTGTTTTGTTTTATTTTGTTTAGCAGTTCAAGCTGGCCTTGAACTCACTGTGTAATCTAGGCTAGCCTCAAACTCACAATGATCCTCCTGTCTCAGCCTACTAAATGCTGGGATTACAGCCTTGTACTGCCATGCCCAACTTTGATTATATACTTTTAAAAAGGAGTTTTTACCCTTGGAAAAGCTGTCAAGTCCTTCCAAGAACAGCACCCTTGATTCACTTAGAATATAATTTATTACTTACAAAAATCAAACTATATCACATTTGGGGGATCACAACATTATCAGTGGTAAAATGTTGGGTACCATTGCTGCTGATTTGTGAGCGTGCGTTTTTTGAAGGTATTCGTTCATTCAATATTTATTGGACTCTCGCTAAATCAGGAAGCTGGGTTTACAGCAATGAAGGAAACAGCCAAAAATCTCTTACCTGGAGGGAATTAATTACATTCTGTCGGGAGAGGTAGTCCATTCATCAATGAATAAAGCATAGAGGATGCCAGCTGATGATAAGTAATACAAACCAAGTGGGAAAAGAGGATAGAGAAACACCATGACTGGTGAGGGACTATGATTTCAAATAATTAGAACCATGCCAACCAGGGATGTTAGGAGAGCTAGCTGTAAAGGAGATGAAGAGATAAGCCCCGGGAAGATCTGGGAAAGGTTAAGACACAGAGAGCAGACACTCCGTGCACACATCCCGGGGAAAGAGCTTGCCAAAGATTGAGGAACCGGAAAGAAATTTATTTGGCTGCGTATGGTAGACAAAGGGAACCAGAAGATGGCAAAATACAGATTGCAGAGTTGTGGACCCCTGAGAAGGGGGACTGGCTGGGATATTCCCCGCAGAGCAGAGTTCTGATGAGCAGTTAGGAGCTGCTGTCCCAGCACAAGAACATTCAGCCTCCAGGGAAAGGGGGAGTCACTGATGTGGTTCTCCTTGAGGGTAAAGTATGTGCAGCTGTGCTGGCTGCAGGGCGAGAGAGAAAGGCAGGTGTCGGTGCCGTGTAGGGTTTGGTCTGGGCTACTGAGACCTCGACCAGAGAAGACTCCAGAGCGGCAGGAGCAGGCAGGACCAGAAGTTGGATTTTGGACACATGGAGCCTCGGGTGCCAAAGCAAGCCCCACGTGAAGAGGTCTGCAGGCAGCTGGAGGAGCCAGGCTGCACACCAGGGGCATGGGGAGGACTCTGGGAGCTGCTGGTGCACAGTGGATTGGCAGTGAGCAGTGGAGGGAAGAATTAGCCAGGAGCCTGAGCCTCTGGGCCACTTGCGGGTGGCAGGCTGGAGGGGCAGGGAGTGTCATCAGTGAGTGGGTCAGATAAGGGGAGAGAGACTCACTATCATGGTTGCCAGATTTGGCAAAGAGCCGGGGTCAGACATACATCTGGAGTGTGTTCCAGGAAGCCAAGAGGCCAGGAATTCGAGTTCACGTCATGTCAGCATTGCTCAGAATCTCAAAAAAATGTCCACTTCCCTGGTACAATGAAGCGTAATTGAAAATAGCTCCGCTCAGTTTAGTTAACTAAATGATCCGAGTTTTACAATGGTTCCCTCCTCCCAAGGTAGGGTATTTTGCATTCATTGTTGGTGCGAGGGATGGACCCAGAGCCTTGCACGTGCTAAGAGTGAGCTGCATCACTGACCTGAGGCCCCAGTCCTGACTGATTGCGTGGGAGGGACGGGCCACCACCACGGAAGCACAGGCGGGGGGCGCCCGGCATGTGAGGTGTCATCCACGAGGAAGGGTGAACGGCTTCTGTCTGTTCTATGTATATTGGTGATCTGTAAAGTAGGAAATCAGAGACAACAGGAAGACATGCAGGAGCAAGTAAGCAATAATCCCAAGTTATCTCAAAACCCAGTGGCGGAGCAGGTTGTGCTGTAGCCTGGTACAGTGCAGCGGGTGAACGTGCGGTCTCTTTATCAGTGGCCACGGGGAAGCTGGCAGGGTCATTACTGAGTCACGGCACAAGGGAAATTGAGTTACGAAAATAAAAAGAAAAGAGAAATTGCTCTCTCTTTCCTTTTAAATTAAATCTTGTATCATATTCCCGGTCAGATCTGAGTACAGCCTTGAGTTTTTAACGATATAAATTAGTTGTAATGTTTGCAATACTACGTTTATTTGATTACAGATACTTCTTTCATCTCACTGAGACTAGAAGAAACTAGGAGGAAATAGGATAGCACTCATCCCCTGGTTAACCGGAGTGAGGGCCGGTTATGCACAAGATCAGAGTCCTGGGTTCCAAATAAAATTATAATTGCTTTCTTTTTTTTCTGAATGAAGAAAAGGAGGGAAAAGAGACATTATGGCTGAAATAGAACTATTTCCATGAAATATTTCTTCCACAGTGCTGGGAACCCTAAGATAACAGCCTGTATTCAAATGTGAGAAGCAGAAAATGTAATTTACTTGAAGCATTAAGCGAAACAGAATAGAGGGTTTTTTTTTTAAATCATCCACAGTAAGTGCAATGGGTAACTAATATTCAATGCCCATTTGATTTTCAGCAGTTTCCTCCCTTTAGTAGCTAAGAAATAGATGCAATGATAATGATTTTTATTTAAAGATCACGTTTCCTGCTGCTATTTTTGGAGTAATGGATATTTGATTGATCAGAGCCTTAACTCCTATATAGAAAACAAGCACCCACCTTTGCTCACCCCTAAAGGAGGGAAACGGGAAGAAATACTGAGTTGGAATGTGGGAACTCTCCCCTGCTTTACCACAAAGATTATAAATCAGCATATTATTGCTCTGTCCATTTCCTCATGGAAATTAATATTTAAATCCTGATTTTCAGCCTATTTTTTACTGATTTTTTAAGCCACCATTGAACAGTGGTTCCCACCTAGGCGTCACCACTTTGGGCATCAAATCATCCTCTGTATGGATTCATCTTCAGAAGTCCTGCTATGAAATTCCCAGAGCACCCCGGGGAGTTTATTCAGTGCTGTCACAGCCCACGCAGGACACCCCAGACCTCCCTGGAGCCCCTCTACTATGAGCACAATTTTGTGCCACTGCGGAAGGCAGGCCTGTTTGCTGGATTCGACTGCATGAGTGAGTGGACTACAGTGGAAACTGCGGGACACACAGGTTGGGGGGAGCACACTACACATATGTGCGAGGCTCTGCTTTCACACATTCGGAAGAAGCTGGCACTCCCAAGTCTCCAGGGTGCAGCTGTCCCTGGAAATCACTTGCCCCACAGATCCCTCCCCCAAAGTTTTCACCACTGGACCAACCAAGATCTCATCTCAGTGCTGTCATGGCGGGGACCACAGCCATTATTTCATTTATTGCACTGAAAAAAAATTTTAAAGTGTGGTGTCTCACTGTACTGGTCAGCCTTTGGGTTTCTGACCCAAAAAGCCCAGCATGAGCGTGTTTTCTGGAGAGGTGTATTCTCCTCTGGCAAACGTCTGACTGCTGTTCACATAAAGAAAGTACGCTCCAGAAAGTTTAAGGGCTGCATACCTGAAGGCAGACAGTAAAAAATATGAGAATGACAAGTGACATATTACTAAACGTGGAGCTGAAAAAGTGGCTTCCACGTGAGCTCATTCCAGAAAGGAAATCTGGGGGGTGACCGAAATGTTGGGTATTTTGAGTGGAGTGATGGTTTCACAGATATATTTATCAACACTTGTTAAATCATTCACCGAAGACTTGTGCATTTTGTGTGTTAAATTTTACCTTCCCTAAAGAAGTCATCAAAAAAAAAAAAAAAAAAAAGTCAACAAACCACAGTGACCCATGCACATCCATGTTTACAGCAACACAACTTCGTAAGAGCTAAATCTTGGAAGCGGCCTATACGTCCACCACGAGATGAAAGGTAGAGAAAATGCAGTATTTACACAGCATGAAGCACTGCTCTGCCACGAAGAAGGATCAACTTGAGTCATCTGTAGGAAAAGGGAAGCACCTTGGGACCATGATGTTAAATGAAATAAACCAGACGCAAGGCTTATACCGCGTGGTTTCTCTCATGTAAGAAACCCAAACCATAAATAATGAGCAAAGTAAAAACTAACAGGAGGTCAAGAAGACAGATTTTTTTTTAAAGGGGAAGGGGAGAAAAAGATGGACCAAAACCAGAATGGAGATGGATCCTTTCCACACAAGAAGTGAAAACATTATGTGCCGCAATGCACTAACATAAATAAATAAATTTTACTTTACATTTTAAAAGCCCATCCTGATGATTGCTGTACGCCCTGAGAACCCTTTGGAGTGACTTCTGTGTGACCACAGAAACTGGCCCTGTCTCCTCATCCCCCTCCTTTGTGACTTACTAACCTTTTTCATGGCAGTGGTTGGTATTAAAATTCCCTAAGATCTGCTCTTTTGGTCTTTAAACTTTTTGGTCATATTATATCTTATTACTTTAATAATGTTGGTTTGTTGCATACAGATTGTTTAAAAGGCATGAAGAAGAAAATAAATATCCATGCTTTTGCTCTTTAAGGTAAATTGTTAGTATCTCAGTGTCTTTCTTTCTGGGTACAATCAACAGATATGAACAGAGTCCTGATTTGTGCCAGAAATTCTTCTCAACACCAGGGACACTGAGGTAAGAAAGACCAGGTTCCTGTGAACAAGTTCTAATAGATAATATGTACAAAGCGGCTTTTTAAAAAATGAGAGCAAGAATATATTCACTCTCCTATATCCTGTTTTTCTTATTTATGCATCAGCTCTATATCACAGGAATGAAAAAAAAATCAAACACAACTTTCATAGCTGTGTAGTGATTCCCTGGGTGGCTATATTAGAACTGATTTCATGACTCTGTAGTTTGTACAGCCAGACTTCCCAATGTCATAAGCTACAATCCTACAAACGGCTCATCGAGGGCCTGTTGAATATATCTTTGGCTTTGTGCTGGCAGAATCACTTTAGCAAGTGCCCACACAGTTAACTTTCCCTGTTAAACAGCCTCACCCTCACCCCTCTGTGTCTGATGCCTGAGTCAATGGGTCGTTTTTAAAAGCCACAGTAAGTGGGGACACGCTCATGGACTGAGCTCCAGGAGATGTTCTGGCACCAGCAAAGCGCATCGTGGTCTGGGAGACGTTTCCCCCAGCAGGTTCTGCACCGATTCTTCCAGGAACAGACCCTGCTGGCTACTGTTCACCTTTCTCCTCTTATTCCCGAGGTTTAAATCTCTGAAATGGGGGGAATGGCTTGTGCTCCTAGAGGCCTTTTGCCTGAGACTGAGGCTAAGCTCCATTAAGGTATTTTGCTAAAAAGTCCAGGCCCAAGCCGAGCTCCTATCTGACCCATGTGAACCAAGACCCAGCCGAGGAAGCGGTCTGAAGGTAAAGTTGTCAAGGGAATGCTTATTGATTTGCTGAGAAACCTCCAGATATCTGCAAGGCAGGCAGTTCCATGGAAGAAAAAAAGTTGCCCTAGAATATAGAGTACAGGGAATCCTCAAGTTACACTGTTCCTGAAGTTCGCTGTTACTTAGAAGGTGGACAAAAACACAAAACCATTCAGCACCACCGTGAACCACAAGTATCCACATCTATCACAAATAAAGCACTGTTACCATACACTTTAAAGGGCTGTTAGGATCTCAGACTTATTACACTCTCTAATGAAGCTGGAAGTCATGAGAAAGGGTACATGGCGGTGCATTGTGTTACCATTCTTTATACATCTTTGATCCTCCACCGTTTGGAGGGAATTGTGCAAGGCACTATGGGAGGTTATAAAGATGAATCAGACAAAAACTTGTCATTAAAGAGCTGATGGACCGCAGATGTAGTAACACAGTAGCCTCTAGCAAGTATGCCTTGGGGCCCCCAGAATGGGGCCAGTTTGAGCTCAGATGTGTTATAAGCAACCTGTGCCCTGGATTTCAAAGACTTAATATTTGAAAAAATGGAAACTGTCATTAATAAGTTTTTACAATGATTACATGCTAAAATGGCAATATAGTCAGCCCTCTGTTCCCATATCCCAAAACTCCACCAACTGTGGGCTGAAATTTTTTTTTAAAAATTATGTCTGTACTAAACAAGCACAGAGATTTTACTACTATTCCTTAACCATTGGAACATGACAGCACTTTCCACAGCAATGACATTATATATCAGACCATAAATCAACTAAAGATATGTGAGGATGTGTTCAGATTGTATGCAAATGTCACACAGTTGTATATGGAGGACTTGTGGTCCTCAGAGCATACCAATACTGGAAGTGATTCCCTATGGGTACAGAGAGATGACTATAGTTTGTATTAAATCAACTGTATCATTAAAATTAATTTAATCTGTGGCTTTGCAGCTTTTGAACTGAAAACGACATTATGGAACTTGCATTGCTATGGGCAGTGCTGCTCTGCACAAATCTGTTTACCACCTACTCTGTGCCACGTAACTATGTGCGATTTTGTGTACCCTGCCATAAGGGAAGTGAGCAGACAAGTTCAAGGCTGTGCTAACACACCATCCCACTTTCGATTGCAACTTCTATGCATCAGCAGCCAGCGAAGGTGGTGAGGATCCAAGAAATGAAGACGCCAAGAAAATTCGCTTTCTCCGTACTTGTCAGGGAGAAAGCGAATAAGTAGACAAAGAAATACAAAATAATATGCCAGGCAGTAAGAGGGAAGGACGGACCTCGGGGAGGGAGGGACAGAGGCCGGAATGGAGGAGGAGGCGTCGGGCCAGTGCTGATTCTCAGATAACGTGATGGGAAACAGGTGTGATCTGAACAGAGCCCCAGAGGAAGCCGAGGAGTGAAACTGTGATCATCTACTCTACCCCGGCTCTCTGCTAGAGGGGACACGCATGGAACTAAAGGGTCTTGGGCTGGGAATACAGCTCAGTGGCACAGTGCCTGCCTGGCCAGCGAGAGGTCATGAGTTTGATTCACAGTACCAAAACAAGAGACAGAAAGAAAGAACTAAAGGATCTGGGCATGCGTGTGCATGTGTGTGTACACACAGGCTAGCAGAAAAAAGCATAAGAAAAAGCCAAAACCAGTGCCAGGGGAAACTCACAAGCCACAGCCACCAGAGGCTGCAGGGCTGGAGGGAGCCCTGGAGGAAGTGTACCTCGTCCCTGCTCCTTCTGTGTTCTCTGTGCTTCTGGGATGCTCTCAAGGGTGTGACTCTCCTCTGCCAGGCCCTTCTGCTGCCAAGCTCTGCCTCACCGCATGCCCAGAAACAACAGAGCCAATGACCATGGATGAGATCCCCTGAAACCATAAGCCAAAATAAGCTTTCCCTCCTTTACAAGCAGCACTTCCTGTTCTCTTACAGTGATGAAAAGCTGACTGACACAAGAGGCGAGCTTGGACACCTACAAGGGGAGGTGCGACCAGCGAGGGGCTCCCCAGGGCGCTTTGGTCAGGGAGCAGGAGCTCTAACCAGGTCTGTCTGACTCACCTCGGGGTCTTCTGTTGCTGAAAGTGCAGAGCAAAACAATCAAAAAATTACAGAGAATTCAAAGCCCAAATAATCTGCATAACTGAAGCCTCACGATACATCCAAGGACTTTGGAGAGTTATCTGAACTGGCAGTCGAAAATGGCTGTGTCCTGTCCTAGAATGGCAAGCCATCTCCCTCCTTTGCCAGTTTAACCTAAGGGAAGTGGGTCTGAGAGCTGGATACTCCGGCGTGGACTGCAAGGCCCACAAGTCTAAGTCAGATAAGACAAATTGGCCTTATTTGTGCCAAAAAACCTTTGTGAGCCCGGTGACAATTCTGTAGCCCAGACTATCCTCCTTGCGGTCCTCAGCCCTCCAAATTCACCCCTTCATTTTCATTCTGAGTTGAAGCCCAGCTCTGCAGGCAGGGAAAGAACTAGAAACTGGCTGTGTTCTGGATAAATGCATTATTGGTGAAGATAACTTCGCCTGATGCAGCTTTCTATACATAGAAGTGCTTTAAAAAAGAAAGCACCCTCCAGTCAAATGTTGGGTTTTATAGGGCAAGTTCCTCCCCTGAAAGGCGAATAAAGATTTAAGCAGTCCTCAGCTTCCACTGAAAACAAACGCTCATCCATCACGGGGTCACTGGGAAAGGAGGCTCCATCCTAGCCCCCCAGGTTGGCTCATTTACTTTGATGGAATTCACTAGAAAACTGTTCCACTGCAGGCTTGGCTGTGCCTGTGTCACTGTTTTTCTGGAGATTGGATGTGGATCCTGTCAGTCAGGCCCTTTCCCGGGGCACTAACATGTACAGATTACACACATCAAAGGCAGCCTGCGACCGCTGGCACTGAAATTTACACAAATCTGGGCTTCAAGTAATCTGGATAAACAATGAGACTAATGACCTTGCTGTCCGTTCATCTCCACGGCTCGCTCAGCACTGCGGTCGCCTGTGGGTGCGCAGGTTGTGGCTTTGGCTTGCAGCCTCCATCCAGGGATTAGGTGCTCACCCGATGCCCACAGCACTCAGGAAGGCTGAGAACACAACCGGGGCATCTCCAGTGTAAAAATAGGTGCAGTCACCAGGGTTCAAGAAACACGTCCCTTACCATAGCCACCAAGGAAACAGATTTATAAACACAGGTAACCCTCTTACCATGCCTCCCCATCATGAGCCCATTTTCTTCAGAAGTAGGTCCTGGGTTTCTCTTGAGTATGTTCAGGGCCTCTTCACAGGCACCCCCTAAAAAACCCCAAGACAGAACCCACAGGGTCTGAGCCTGGGCAAGGACAATTTCAGAAAGGTTGCCGTTGGTAAAGAAAAGCAAAGGAAGGAAGGAAGGCGTGACCTTGGCCGGTGAACTTGATCAGCATCTACTTCTAATCTGGGACAAAAGCAATTAAAAACAAATGGTGTCTCCTAAGTGCCAGCTGAAGTCCCTAGGGTCCCTGTGGTGTGACTTAGTGGTGCTGCTCTGCTGCTAGCAGGAGGCCCAGAGAGAGCCACACCTCGGGGATTCTGCTCCTGGGTGGCCCTGGGCCCACTGGACAGGCGTTGGGGTCCCTTGCCTCATCCCAGTCTGTATACAGGTCACCTGGAAATGACCACGTACTAGGCAGGCTGGGGAACACTGCCCAGGGAGGACCCCCTTAGGTGAAGAAAGGCCACACAGGAAGGACCCCTAGTGAACTTCCCTGAGACCACATGTGTGGTGCCCCTGTCCCTTCACATCCAGCCCTAGCCACAGCTGCCACAAACTCGAGATGCCTCTGCAGGAGACTCGCAATCCTGTTCTGTTCTAAAACACGGGTGCCCAAAAACCCCTCTTGGACACCTTTTGGCCACCCCCACACCCCGCCCAGATCTTCCTGCTGCTCTTTTGAAGATTTCAGCCACACAAGCAGGATATCAACACACTCCTCAGGCTGTTTTCAGAGCTCCTATGACACACGTCCATAAAATGTCTCACAAAAATATATTCTTTTCTCTGTGATTTTTTCCTTGCAATCATTTACAAGAATCAGGCATACCCATTTTCTCCTTGGAATGTCTGTGTGTCATTCCACTCATCCTGTGTGGAGGTCACAAATGCTACAGGGATTTTGGTGGTCCTTGTCACACAGCAGTGGGACGTGCAGAGCTGGTCTCAGCCACGGACTGGTAAGTGTGAGACCACCATCCCCATCTGCTCCTGTGCTAAGGGTTCCCAGAGCTTGAGAAGTTTTTATTTTTGCAATAAACCATTCTCTTGCGAGGGAATGCCTTGCAGGGTAGACTAACACCTTACACGCATACATATGTTCAGGTGCATTGTCTTAGGGAATAGCTTATTACTACACTCTTTTTACAAGGAGGAAAGTGAGTCTGCCACAGCCTGGCTTGCCTGAGATCACCCATGATGTGACAAGGAAATTCAGAGGCTCCCTTCAGCTCTGGGGCACTGGATTCCAAAGCCATTTCTTCCACAACATTCTCCAGAAGTGCAGGCAAGCAGGGACTTTGCAGATTTCTCACCATAAAGACAGACAGGTTTCTTACTAGTAGGGTGCAAGGAAAGGTCTCCACAGTCTGTCACTGAGACTACGTCAAATCACAAATGCCAACTCTGAGCTCAAGTACCCTGATTAATAAAGGATATTAACACTGATGTTCCAGAGTCCGATTTTGGTGGAAGAAAACTGGGCAGTGTGCTACATTCTGAAAAGAAAAGAAATGTAAGCACACAGGCGCCCATGTCCAGCCAGAGCTGGCCTTCCAAATGTGATGGTAGAAGAAAGTGTGAATCCTGCTGAAATAAGAGTGTTTATGGCTGCAGAAATTCAGCTGCATATAATGGTAATTAGGAACAAGATATTTTCCCTAATAAAATTACTGCAAAACAAAATCTGGAGAAGCTAAGTGTTTCCCTATGTTCTCTTTATTTTATTCCACGTGCTCAAGGATGGTTTGGGCAAAGAAAGAAAGAGAGAGAGAGACAGAGAGAGAGAGAGAGAGAGAGAGGAGTGCCCTGGCGAGCCGGCCTCTGCGGAGGGTTGGTTCTGCTTTAGAAACTGGAATGTGTCCAGGCTTGATTTTTATTTTCAATTCACATTTCAGATCCAGCTCCCCCCCACCCCGCTCTTTGATCTTTCTCCCTGTCTCCTTACCCGGAAGAGAACCCTTGGCCTTCTCAGCTGGGAGCTGGGAGCACACGTGGAAAGACTGGCTCGGATTCATATTCTTGCCAAATTTAGTCACACAAAGGGGCCTGCGAGGGAAAAAAGAAAGGATGAAAGCGGCAGCCGCAGACTTCAAAGGCCGCGCCGCCGCGCCGGGCCGGGCAGGCGCCGCCCTCCGTGGATATAAGGAGAGGCCCGGCCGTGCGCCTCCGTCCCGGGCGGGATCGGGGACGCGGGGGACGTGGGGGCTGCGGGGGGCACGGGGGACGCGGGGGTGCGGTGCCCGCGCCAAGTTAAGGCGCTTGGGGAAGATTTCCGAAAGGGGGGACCAGGGTGTCCCTCCCGGCCAAGCGCTCCGCCGGCCCGCAGCGCCCCAGGCCCCCTGTCCACCCCGGGCGCCCCAGTCCAGAGGTGACCCAGTCTAGGATGGGCACCAGGTCTCAGCTTGCCCTCGCTCCTGTGGTCCTCGCCCTGGGTGGCACCGCGCCCCGTGCCCCCATGCGGTGCCCACGCAGGCGGGGACTGGGTTCTCCTCGGGAGGCCGGGCGTCTGGATCTGGGGACCCGGTCACGGTCCCACAGGCTCCCGCCTGGCCCCGGGGAGGGGGTGGCGTCTGTTTGTCTTAAGTGGAGGCGAGAAGAGGCGGAAGAGCCCTGGGGACACAAACTGCCGCTTCCCTGCTCCCCCGCTCCTTTTCCGTTCAGCTGAAGGCGCCCGCGCCCTGAGTCCCCTGGAGACGCGTGGGACACGGAAGGGGCCGATGCCGCCCCTGGGTCACGAGATTCATTTTTCCAGCTCCCCTCCCGGCCCCTCGCCCTCCAGAGTATCCTCTCGGGACCACCAGCCTCCTCAATCCCTCCACGGGCGCAGCAGGACAGAGTCTGGCCCACCCGAGAGGGCCAGGCCCGCTGGGGACAGGGCCTTGGCCGCGACTCGCTCTGGTCCTGTAACGGGCCCTGTTGGCCGGGGAGAGGAGGAGTCCCAACCAGTGCCCAGGTCCCCCGGGATTGGAGGGTGCGCAATCCACCCGGTCTCCAGCGTAGATCTCAAACAAATTTGCTCCCAAACTACACCAAAACCAACCCTAGCCTCGGGGAGGCGGAGAACCCGCAGTTCTGCAACCAGCCCCCAGAGCTAGTTTCAGGGTCGGAATTAAATTACATCAAAACCCCCCCGAAATCCACATCCTGCAGGAATGAGCCTGCAGCCTGTCAGCGGTTGTCCTCGCCCGAGTTCACAAGGGCGACCTTCCTGCCTCAGCGTCAGAGGGCAGGGGCCGAGGGGCTCGCGGGCGCAGCAGCTCGCGCTCGGGCCTGAGGGCCCCCAAGAACCCGAGGTAGCAGGGGCTGCCTGTCGGTGGGACACCAAGCCCACGGGAGGGGGGCTCTTCCGGAGGCAACTGCACCCCACCTGCGCCCTCTACTTTTCTCTGGAGCTTTCCCCAGGAAATGTTAGTTTCCCAGACAAAGCCAGGAGAAAAGGGGCGCACGGTGTTTCGCAAACCCCTCTTGGGGGAGCGCAGCCTATCAGAGGATTTGGACAAGGATTTAGGGACAAGGCCTCGCCCAAGGAGCCCAGCGCCCGGTGATTTCGTTAGAAATAAGGTTTCTGGAGAGGAGAGGGAATCAAGCCCAGCTCCAAACGCAGCCGCCCACCCTCGGCCCTCCTCTGAACAGTTCCACCAGTTATTGTTCCCGGATTCCCATCTTCTCGGGCTCCTAATCTCCAGGACACCTGGAGCTCTGCTCCACAGGACTCGGTGAGTCCAGATAATTAACATGGAGGAGAAAATGGGAATTCGAATTAGTTGCAACACTTAAACCCGGTGGTGGTGGGGGTTTGCAGGAGTCCTTGTTTAATCTTTTCTTGGCTTCCAGAAAAATTCCCTCTGGCCATTCTGCCTACATCGGTGGCTTTGATGGACCCTATATTCAGCCCTCCTGGCGGTCAAGTTGCCCCTGTCATAGGAGGGATTTAGGCTTTGTTTCACCATATTTCTTTTAGATGGGGGGGGCACTGTAAATGTGGGACACAGCTACGTGGTCACACTCGGAGACAGCCACTCGCCCTGGTGCCCAGTTTCAGTGGAAGTTGTATAGCAGAACCATCCCAAAATCAAAAATTGGATTTCTTTCCAGTCTTTCTATTACTGCTTTATGGACACACTATACCAGAATGTTGTTTCTGTTCTTTTTCTTTGACGCTTAGGTACTTAACAGTAAGATGGTTTTACTTTGCCTGACCCTCTTTACTAACCCCTAAAAATACCCAACTCTGCTGCACAGAATTTTCGTGTGACTACTGGCTCCACGCTATGGGGCCCAGGGAGTGTCTAAGTGAGACAGTTTTTAAAGCTACTACCTAGTAAATTCCCATCCCCCCAAATTAGCAAAGGTTTGAACGCTTTAGACCTGTCAAAGTCTCTGCTTATTAAGAAAAAAGAGAGATCTCCGCGTGGCCATTCCTACATAACAGAGTTTAAGTCTGGTTCTGAGGCGGTTCCCTTATTTTCAACTTAAGGGAGCCCAAGATGCATTTCCTCCTGCCGGCTGTTTGCTGTCCTGAGGTTGGACCGGTGCATGGCTGCTGCTACGGGTGTAATAATTTTACCCGGATTTTTAACTAAGGGAGGGAGAGAGCCAGGGGACAAAATGTGTTTTCAAACTTCAACTTCCCTGCTACAGTAACTTCACAGAGCGTCTCCTTAAAAGTCCTCTCCTTATACAAAGTGCATCAAAGGGACGGTGAAGACCTGGGAATGTCTGAGGTCGAACTGAGATTTGCATCCTCAAGGGTCCCTTTCAGCGCGCGGTCAGGGCGCCTGGGACGCCCGTCCTCCCTCCCTCTGCGGGCTCTGCTCTCCCGGGGCTCCTCCGCCTTCTCTTCTCCCTTCTCGGGCTTTCTTCTCATGCTCTCCGAGGTCCCACACGCGGCAGCGTGGACTCCGAAAGCCCACGAGCGATCTAGCGTAATTCTCCGTGCATCCCATGGTGAGGGCGCAAAGCCATGGCCATGGTGTAAAAAGCGATCTTGAGATCCAGTCTTTGGTTCCTTCCTCCTCGTCCTAATTTTCTCGGTAAGCCTGGAGATTTTTATTTTCGCTAGCGTGTGCTTCCTCTGTCTTCAAAGAGCCTGAGTACGACACAAGGCTCCGGGAAGCCCAGATTCTCCTACCCTCGCCTTTCTCCAATAGCTGCGCCCGTCCGGTCTGTTTCCCCCTTCCTCCTCGCCGTCCCCAACTCCCGCCTAGCCCCTCCGGAGCATCTATCTCGGCGCGGTGCGGATCACGCCGGCGGCTTTGCCTTTCATCTTGCCGGGCCGTGCTGGGGAGGGTGCGTGGGCGCCGGGCGGAGGACCCGGAGTGGGCGGTGGGCGGTAGGTGGGTGGGGCGAGGGCAGAGACACTCCGGTGCCGTCCGGCCACCCAGGCCGAGTGTCTTTTCCACTCCACGCGGGTAAAGGTGCCTCTCCGTGGGCTACCGGTGGCCGCGCCAGCCTCTTTCCTCCCCAAGTTGCCCAGTCCTTCCCTCCAGGCGCGCGCGCACACACACCCCAAAACTAGGACTCGTCCTACAGGCTCTGGGAAAAGGAGAATTTTTTTAAAGCCCTCAATCACCTCCTCCTTCTCCCCCCCACCCCCGCGGGCAGCCAAGGAGAGCGGGAGGCGGGGGAGGGGCGGGGAGTCGAGGCGACGCAAGTGGGCAGCTTTTCAGCGCCGGCGAGGCGCGGGAGGAGGCGGACAGGCGGCGGGAGGCGCAGCGCCTCACCTGCGGGGCCGGGCGCGCAGAGGACCGGGCTGCGGGGAGCCGGACGCGCCCAGCCTCGCGGGCTGCCGAGTCGCCGCGGTCCCCTCTGTCGGCCGGGCGACCCCTCGCTGGGACTCTGCGGAGGTGCGGAGAGCCGGGGAGCCGAGCTGGGAAACCCGAGCCGGGAACAAAGAGGGACCGCGCTGCGAGCGTGCGCGTCTCGGCCGGGGCTCCGGAGCAGCGTTGGGGCCCAGGTCTCCGGTGTGACGCCCGGGAACCCCACCGGCTCCCGTCGTCGGTGCCCTGCGCTCGAACTTCTCAAACTTCTGCGCTGCTCCCCGCGTGCTCCGCGCCTCCCCACCTCCTCCTCCCGCGGCAGCCGACCACATCCATGCGCCTGGAGGAGGAGGACCGAAGCGAAAGGGACGGAAACTGGGAGCTGTAAAACGGACTCCGCCAGCCCGGCGAGCTCTTGGTTTTTATTTTACCTTTTATTTTTTGTTTTTGTTTTTCTTATTTTTCCACCCTCCAGGAAGTGGACTTTGCATTCCATTCCGATTGATTCTGCGGGCGCTTTCTCCACCGGGGGACCCCAGAGCCTGTGGCTCTGCGCCCTTCTCGGGAAGCAAACTCTCCCTCGGCAGCCGAGCCAGCTACGGTGGCAAGGCGCTTGGGGACGCGCCGCGGGACCCCCGGTGTGCTCGAGCCGCGGCGACGCGGGGACTAGGGGTGTCCTCGGCCCGGACCCGGCCCGGCGCGCGTGCAGCTCCCGGCACCCGCCGAGCTCGCCCGCACCCCGCGCCCTCCGCCCCCGGCGTTGACGCCCCTCTCCCTCCTGCTGTCGCCGCGGGGGCTCCCCCAGCGGAGCGGGGATCACACGGCCGCCGGGATGCCCCAGCTCTCGGGGGGAGGCGGCGGGGACCCGGAGCTCTGCGCTACGGACGAGATGATCCCCTTCAAGGACGAGGGCGACCCCCAGAAAGAAAAGATCTTCGCGGAGATCAGCCACCCCGAGGAGGAAGGCGACCTGGCCGACATCAAGTCCTCCTTGGTGAACGAGTCTGAGATCATCCCGGCGGCCAACGGACACGAGGTGAGCGCGCCGCCCCCGGCCGGGGACGCGGACGCCAGGGAGCCGCTGGGGCCTGGGCCAGGCGGTGGGGTCGCCGTCGGGAAGCTCATCGCGAACTCCGGGCCGGCCGGGGATGCGACGCGTTAAAGCTGGAAAGTGCGAACAATGCCACCGGGAAGTTCGTGCCGAGCACCAAAAACAAAGTGCACCGTGCTGCTCCGGGTGGATGCGCTGCAGACGCGCGAGAAACCACCGAGGGGGCAGCCGAGCGCAGCCGGGGCGGGAGCCTGGGCGGCCGGCGTGGGCCAGCGGGCGGGGCGTCCCAACCGCCGAGGCTCGGAGCCGCTCGGGGCTGCGTGGGGGCCGGGGCCGGGAGCGCACTGGCGGGTGGTCGCAGCCGGTGCCCCAGACCGCGCGGAGCCTTGGGTGCGCGAAACCAAGACGCCCCGCGAGTGCGGACACCGCTGCTCCAGTTCCCATCGCTTAAACAAGGTGGTGGTGGGGACTTTTATTTGGGGTTCGTCTGGGCCGGATCAGGCCTTCAATCTATGCGCGCAGAAAAGCAAGCCGTGCGGCGGCGGCGGAAGCGCTTTATCAGATCTCGGGCTGCGGCAGCAAGCGCGCCGGTAACCCGAGAGGGTAAATAGAGACACGTGGGTGTCGGCGCCTCGGGCCTCGAGCTGGCAGAGCGGGGCTATTTCGGGCAGCCCAGGGCCCAGGGGTGGGGGAGGGGCTCTGACACCCGACACTGCTTGGCCACTTTGTCCAACAACTGGGAGCCCCTCCGGAGGAAATCCGGTGGAAGAGGCCTGACACCCAAAAGGTTTCGCCCACGCCTTCCCCCTGCAGAGAAACTTTGGAGGCATACCCTTTTTCCTTAAATGGCATCCTTCCCCCAAAAGAAAGCGCGCGGTTTGGGGGCGGGGACATTTTGGGGCTTAAACTGCTTGTTTAAGAACACCTCCAAGTTCTCTTCTCTGTCCGATGGCAGGGGTGAGTACACGTTTTGGAAGAGCAGGGGGGCCCTGGCTCCAAGGAGAAACCATAAAGGTGCTCTTGAGCGCGGGATCCAGTGTGAGGATGGGGCAGGGGGCCAGGTGCACCCAGCCTCCTCTGTGGGAGAGCCGTGACTCTGTGGGAGGGTGAGGTCATCCGGAGGACACAAGCCCGAGGAACCAATGAGGTCCACAACACTCAGGCTTTTTGCCAGACTCGCGTCCATGTAGAGCAGCCTCTCTCTTTCTGCCCACTTAGCTTTTCCCTTCCTTAGCCCATGAATGAATCTGCCACCTGCTTCACATTTGCTGCACTGTTCAGGTCTGCGAAGAGGGCCTGTTAGTCATGGGGGGTGGGACGAAGGGGCAGAGCCCGGGAAGGATGGAGAAGGGGAGACCACTGCTTTGCACGTGGTTGAGTGGGCCTGGACGGCTGTCCGGAAGCTGATGCCAAGGGGCTGCCTTGTTAGAGGTTGATAACCCAACTCTCAACTTTCCCCCCTTTAACCACAGAACAGTTGTACTTTTCCCCAGTCAGCCTGCAACTCAGGCGGCTGCTAGGGCTCTAGCAGGCTTGGAGGCCTCCTGGCACTCTGGCTGGGTGGGACAGTTGCCTTAAGACCCCGCTGGAGCGCTTGGCTTGTTTGTGTTTAAAATGACATTTTCAGCTGCAATATGGCAGTTAGCCTGCTTTTAATCAGATCTAATTGCAATGATCAGTGGTTGAAGAGGCTATCAGAAATGATCGGCCCCATTCCCTTGGCAGGGCCTGTCACCCATCAGGGCCTCAAGTAGCCTTGGTAGCTTTGGTAAACAGCAGTCAGAAGTGCACACAGATCATTACCGAATTTGTTGTGTTTTTGTTGTCAGTGTTTTTACTTTTTGATCCTGAGTAGATAGTAATCACTCAGAAAACACATGTTGAAAGAAAAAGATGCTCCAGTACTCCCGCCTGGCTTATTATCCTTCAGAGACTCCGTGAGTAGGTAGAGTTAGCAGGGCTCACTCGTGTCCTCCCAAACTCTAAGGTCATTTTCTTTCTTTTGGGGGTGGGGATTGATGCTGTTAGGTGGCCCGACAAGCTCAAGCCTCCCAGGAGACCTACCACGACAAGGCCCGGGAACACCCCGACGATGGTAAGACTGGTTCTCCTCTAACCCTGCACCCTGGATGTGTGTGTTGTGTGGACTCGATTTGTTCTGCTGCTTTATTTGTGTGCAAGAGACCAAGAGCGGACATGATAAGAAAACACACACTGTTTTCCCAAAATGGGAGAGAGAAAGCACAGGCAAGGCAGTGTATGACTGAGCTCTTCTGTGTGGCATCATTTTCAGAACTATCTTTGAGTGAGGAGCCTTTGGATTGCAGTTCCCTTCCAGATTTGGGGTGGGGATGGAGGGCATGTTTACAATGAAGTGGGCTTTTCAGCCCCCCCCCAACAAGAATAGTTTGGAGTAGATTTTCATGTGCTAAATTGCGGCTTTCAGCTTGCTACAGTGAGAAGGCAGGCGGTATGGGAACCCGGCTGAACAAGGCCCAGGAAAAGACCATCTAGCTCGTAAAAACAGAAAACTTACAAGTAGGAACCACGCATCAGTAGCATGGGAGACTGTCTCCCAATTTCTGATACTTGCTAAAAACTTTAAAAATTATGAGTACGGATACAGTTCTTAATTTAAGGAAAACTCTTCTTATGGCTGGAAAAGAATCAAAGTGGTCGCGTTGGCTTTCTGGTGTCTTAATGACTAAACTATAGGCCTGGCCAGACTCAAGCGTGTACCCTGCAGTTTGCCAGCCAGAGGAACGGCGGAGGGCAACACATTAGGCTTCCCTCCCGGTGACACAGCAGTCAGATTAAAATCCATAAACGGAATACATATGGATGTCTTTGGCTGACTGATGAAAGTGCAAATTGAGCCTTCCAGAGTTAATCCTTTATAAATGTGGGTAAGTTGCTCCTAATCTAGATATAACTCTGTCACTAGATACAACTCAGTAACAGGTTAGGATGTTTGAGTTTGCCTGAGAAGTGTAACTTCAAGTGTGTAAGTATGTGTGTGTGTGTACCTATGGATGGCCCTGATCTATACAGTACAGCTTCAGGGTTGTATGTCCTCCTCTGTGCTCTGTATTTCTTAGTCCAGTTTGTTAGGAGTAGAACAAATTAAGTTAGGTGGATAATACTTATTTTTGTAAAAACATCAACCGATACTAGACCTAAATTAAACCACATGTTTTTTTTAAACATCTGGTGCCCTGCTAAGCCTTTTAAGAGAATAAATGCTGTCAATCTAACATAGAGCATAATAATCCAGTGATAGTATTTTATAAACAAATCTTTTGATGTAAAGTCTGATTTGCCGCAGGACTGTGAGATTTTTTTCTGGTGAAGAATATGGTGGTACGAAAGGGAGAATGTCACATTCTTGATGGCTCTTTGCACCCTCGCAGGAAAGCATCCAGACGGAGGACTGTATAACAAGGGGCCCTCCTACTCCAGTTATTCTGGCTACATGATGATGCCAAATATGAACGGTGACCCGTACATGTCAAACGGATCCCTTTCTCCGCCCATCCCGAGGACCGTGAGTACCCGCTGATGCACTGATTCTTCTCAGAAGTGCAAATTGATTTGTTATTCGGCAGGATGACCATGATGATTTTGTTTTCCAACACCTTGGAAAGGCTTCTCTGACCAGTCATGGCTAAGTAAGAGCTGCTGCGAGTGGTGCTGCCCTAAAAAGTGCCATCTTTGATGTCTTGCACTTGGAATTTTAGCTTCTGATTTGTTGGTGGAGGTTAATAAATAACAGATCTCAAAGTATGAAATCTAATGATGATAAAAACAAGAAATCCATGATTGTGAGGTCTCTGCTCTTCATACCGAGGAGAAGAGAAAATGGATTTCATCTTTCAGTTAACTAAACACGGACGGTTTTCCAGGCCCGTAAGCCATCTAGAGGAAAAACCGTGCAGGCTCATTTGGAGCGGAACACACAGGTTGTCCCTCTGGCTTTCAGCTCTCAGTTTTATTTCATTCTATAAGCTGCTGTTTTGTGAGGAGTGGAGGGGCCATGTGCGTGTCACCGTCGTTTGGCAAGAAAGTATCACTTGCAGATAATCTGACAAACGGGTGTTCGGGTGTTCATTTTTTTTTAATGTCATGGTTCAGTTCACCCCTGAAGTTCTAAAAACCCTGCGGCGCTGGCAAATGTGTAGCTTGGTGGATTTCAGGTTTGCCTCTGGATGAGAGCTCCCTTTTCTTGGAAAGTGGAGACCTGGCTTGTGGAGTGAGGAGTCATCCGAATGGTAACTGGGTGGGGTGCGAGCGAGCGTGAACACGGTGGGGACGGATTCTTAGAATCATTCCTCCTCCTCGGGGGCCATGCCTGTGCCTGCTTCTCTGCAGCCCGCCTCCCCCACGCCCCACCCAGGACAGAAAGCATGTGTGCCTGCGCTCGGTCAGGGTTTCTGTCTCACTTGTGCTTTTGGATACCAAATCTGCCATCATAAATGCAGCCTGGATCTTTGCCTGCTGCTAACAAATTGAAAAGGTCACAGCACCTGGGGCAAAGTGTCTGCGATATCCCAGGGGGACAGATGAGGAGGCCTGACCCCAGCCCGTGGGCACCAGCGAGGTGCTCGGTGACCTTGGTTCCCTGCAGCCTTCTTCCTCAGGATGTAAGGCGCAGGACCTCTGACCACTCTGGCACTGTAATTTCCTAGGCATTTATTTCTCCACAGATTTCAAAATAAAATTTAGATTTCTCAAGTAGGGAATAAATAAGATTTTTTTAATTTTCACACAGCAGCCAAGATGGAGCTCTCCAGGACTGTGTGATGGGTATCATGGGAAAAAACTATTTCATGTTCTATTTTAAATGGGTTTTTCAAATGTTTGGTGATCCTTAACGTTTAATTAAACCATATTTATGTGAGATGTGCAAATCTACCTAAAAAAGTGGGTTAATTAATAAAAGCAACTGGAGTTTAATATTTGGACACCACCTCCAGACAAATGCTTCTGAGTTTTCAGACTTGTGGAAGACTTTCTATTTGTTGAACTAGATGTGTAGGTATGTCAGATATTTCTTTTGCATTTGGGCACCATTTTGTTGTTGTTCTTGGAAAAGAAGACCTAAGTATGTGTTACATAAATGAAGGCTTTTTAGGATAACAAGTAATCTTTAAAATCCAATTATAGTCTTGGTAGTAATAAAAAACAGCCACTGATACCGCCTACTTCATTTCAGCTATTAAGTCAGTGTATATTTGTGCTGTTTATTCCTTACCAAGATCAGCTACTTCTTCCAAGCAGTGTATATATATATATATATATATATATTTTTTTTTTTTTTGTAAAGTCAGCATAGTCAAAATATATTGGCATTTGTAAATAATCACTAATAGTATCGACAGTCAGCTTTTGAAACCAGCATTCTGCCTCAGGTCTCCATAGGGTTTTCCCCCAGCCCCTGTGTACTGGTCATTTTGAAATCATGATAGAACGGAAGGTATTTGTTGCTTGTGTCTGTATTGAAATTGTGAGGGTGGTGAATCAGTCATTCTTTGCTTAGGAAAGATTTGTGGCCAGAGTAAATGTCAGGAGGCACAGAGTGGAGGGCAGGTGTGATCCGGAAGTATCCCTCACACTCACTGCTGTCTGATTCTCTTGCATGTTACCGTGCATTTATTTTGCATGGTAAAATGTGTTCTTGCGATATCCCGTGCTTTGCACAATTCCAGAAGCTTCTCAGTTTTAACCACAGGGCTATGTCAGTTTTTTTGTTTTTTTTTTAGGGTCCAACCAAAGCGAGTTACAATCTTTGGTTTTTAATACCTACCAGCTGTTTTTAATGTGTCTGAGATCAAAAACACTTTAACAGGAAGGCAGCCTGTCTTCTTCACCCCTAACCACACTCTGCCTTGGTGCTCTTTTTTCCTGTCCCCAGCAGGCCTGAATGTTGGTGTCCCCGACACCCTTGGTGACAACTTTCATCAGGGTGTCAGGGGCTGGGTGACCATTTGTGCTGGGGCTCAGGGCGGGAGCAGCCCAGGGCCTCCCTGGGACTGGGATTTGCATTACAACTGTTTATTTACTGCATCTGCTGGGCCTGGGAACCGCTGGGGTGGGGAGGGGCCAGGACTGAGGTGAGCTGCTTTTGCCCAACCTCCCTCCTGTGACTCCTTGCACAAACCCTGGTGCAGGCACAGCTGCAGGTTTTACCTGCAACCTAAGTACTGTGCCACCTGTGGGGGAGATACACCTTCACCTGGAGAATCACCTCCCTGGAGAGCTGGGATCCCTCAAGGTGTTAGTGTCTGTACCAGAGACCTCTCAGTGAGCCTCTCCTGGCATTTTAAGAATTCTTTGGCATTTAGTCAGAATTCTTAGTCCCTAAAAATGGAAGCTGAGAGGAAGGTGCCTGGTGATGCGTTTGGGGACAGTGTGAGCTTTGACGATGCTGTGCATCTGGGCAGCACTGGTCTCGTGTAGAGGAAAGGAGGGCCGAACCCCGCTCGGGGTCTCGGTGAGGACCCTGAGAGCTGGTTAAACACCTAACCTTGCTTTCTGTGAACCTCATGTATGGAAATCCCTGGCAGCCAAGGAGAAAGTAGGAAGAGAAAACACTGGACCTTCCCCTGTGGCCCTGGCAGTGTTTGGCCGGGTTGACCTCTGCGCTTTGTTCCATGGGTCTTGGGCCCCGCGCTCTCATCCGAGGCTGCAAACCCATTTGTCCCTGCAGCCCAAATGTTTAGCACCTCTGAGAAGCCCTGTGTTTCTCTTCACATGCCTAGGGGTGAGGGAGCGGAGCTGCCGGAAGCGCCTCAGCCCTGCTGACTGTTCATCGCAGGTTCTCTGTGATCTTTGAGAGAATTCTCAGGTGGAGAAGGAAGATGACTATTCTCATCCCAGTGACCATTTCCAATTTTATTTCTCAAATGGGAATTGCTGTCTAGTGTGGCAGGAGTTGGTTCTTATTTCATTCACTCAATTGCTGTGTATGATTTTTACTTTGAAGAATCAGGACATTGATTTCTGTTGAGTGACAGACTGTGTCTGTGAGACTTTGACTCCTACCCCGTGCGTGTATTTGCTTACAAGCAGGCCTGTCTCACATCTGGAATGAAGGTGCTAAGGTGGGCTTTATTAAAACAAGACCACTGGCCTGACCTGCCAGAGATCATGCTTTTAGGAAGATGGGCCTTGTACAGATGGGAAGGGAGCTGGAGGGCACAGGGGGTGGACAGACCGAAAAGAACTCAGATGTGTGATGTCTGTGGACCAACTCCCCATGAGGCTTGGCATCATTCTGCACTGCAAACCTGTACTATAAAAATAAAAATTAAACACATCACTCCCCACCAGCCTGCTTTTGAAGAATCCCCTCCCCTCCAGGCCTGAAGTCTGCTGTCAGCTCTGCCATGGTTCGGATCCAGCTTTCCCACATCACGATGCTCTTGACACCGAGATAGACAGCCCCTTGCAGATAGATCTGGCAGAACCTGGACTTGTGGCCTCGCCAGGACTTTCCTCAGGCTCAGCCAACAGCATTTGCAAACATTGAGTTTTTAGAGAAAACTAATTTGGTTATTCCTTTAGGCAGAGCAGCTTGGGATTTATGTGGTTGAAGCTTTTTGAGCAATCAGCTCTCTCTGTGTTTCTGTTCCTCTTGTTCCTTGTTTATGTATTACAGACTGTGCCGGGGCTTTTCTCCCTTTTGTAGTGCTGAGGTTGAGCCCAGGGCCTCTCTAACACTGAGCTGCATCCCAGCCCCATTTTATTTTTATTTTGAGACAGGGCATCATTACATTGCCAGTGTTGTCTATGGCTAGCAGGAAAACACATGCTGTATTTGTAGGTAACAGGAGAGCTGGCATCTTGTGGGTGCTGCCAAGGGCTGTTTTTAAAAGGGGGTGTCCATTTAATCCCTGTCCTCATTAAAGCCATTGCTCGTGAGCTACGTCATGCCAGGCCACTCTGTGGGAAGCTGATGTAGTCAGCTGATGTAGGACGCTGTGTCGTGGCATCCCAGCAGGCTCGCTTAGAAAGGGTAGCCACTGAGCTCCAGATAATGTGCAAAACATATTGTAGGTGCCATCATGATGGTGTATGTCTTTAACTGTAGCTTCTTGGGAGGCTGAGGCAAGAGGATTGCTTGAACCCAAAACTTTGGGGCTGGCCTGGGCAATACAGTGAAATGTCATCTCTAAAGAAGGGAAAACAAACAAAATCTCTCTCTGTATGTGTGTGTGTGTGTGTGTGTACTTACGTACACGTACACAATTTTTTCTAGGTTCACGATTACTCACTACATATTACGATTTCATGAAGTCACAGTGTGACTTCACAGCGTGACATGAAGTGCAGACTCTGCGATGAGCCCCTGATCTGTTTAGGCATCTGTGAGATGAAGTCTCTGGGTGGGGATGCCAAGGCTGACCGGGGCTCGGAGCAGAGCAGATGGATGGGGAGGAGGGAGGCGCTGTGCAGGGACTTGGGGGCGCAGGGTCGCTGGGACCATGCACGCAGTGTTGGAGCTGTGGAGGTTGAGGAGCCTGCAGAAGAGCGCATCTACCACAC